TGCCGTATTTATTGTTGTTGTGGTCGTCGTTGTTGTTGTTGTTGTTTCCCATTGTAGTTGCTTTTGCTGTTATTGATGTGTACTTGTTGTAGTTATTGTAGGTGCCGATAGTTGGCGAAAGTAACAACGAAAACTAGTAACAACAACAAAATTCTTAACAATGACGAGTTGAAACAAGTCAGAATGTTCACAGTTTGATGTTGCACCTTACAGAGAGGAAGAGAAAACTTTCCACTGCTGACACTTGAAAAGCGCGCATACCCTTAACAGTACTGCAATTGTTGCGCAAATAAATAGAAGAGCAACGAAAGAAAAGCAAAACGTCTAAAATTGAATAGGTGTAAGGTACCTTCGGAAACGGAATGGGAAACTTAAAAAACTTTGCCTGCAAAATGCAACGATAAACGAACCATTCGAACTTTCCGAACACACAAAGCTAACAACGGACAGCAGCAGTTTAAGGTGAAGTGCAGAATGGTACAGAATGATAGGCACCAAGCCCGACAGACAAGTAAACAGGAGGCAAGCAGATAATATAAACAATGCCAGAGTAAGTCAAATTGTTAGACACACAGCACTACAGAGTATAGAGTCTAGCAAGTGCTTGGGCAAACAGGCAGCCATACTTTGCAAAGCTCGTAGCGTGTGTTCAGTGTGGCATGGAATAGCATTGATGTGGTTACTTCAGTAAGAATACCCAACGCACGCACCCACACACACATACACATACACATACAAATATGCACACATGTATAACTAAGCTATTGCATTATTGTGTTTTTTGCAGCACAGCATAAAGTTGACTTTTAAGTTTTCTTGATTGATTGAACACTTTTTAAAAATTGTTGTTGTTTTTTGTCATTGTGAACGCTTAACTGACTTCGTTCTTTCATAGTTTCATGTTCTAATCTGATACAGAAAAAGACTTCGACACTAGAATATTTCCAAGTGCTAAAACAAAGGAATAAAAGAAAATAAAAAATTATTTATTGGAACGAACAAAAATGCATAACAACAACAACATTTTAATTTACTAAGTTAGTAAATGTGATTTACTAACTCACTTACCTTATTTGGCCATTACATTACAATTGGCATGAGTGGTCCTCGGACGCGTTCAGTAGTCCAGTAACCAGTGCCTTGCTGTTGCCAGTTGGTAGTATCGAGTATGTATCTTCATATTGTTTTCACGTGGTGGTTTCTCCAAGAATGTGAATGTTCTCTACTGTATTTTCCACCAGCGCGTACCGAATCAAATGCATATCTAGTCAAAGCATTTTCTTTCATTCGGAGTATAAAACAAAGCCAACGAAACCGTTGAATTTTTATCCGATTAACTATAACAATATGGCGGTGTAGCTCATACACCGCATCGTTTGTTCTAATTTAATGCGTACTCGTCGCCAATGCATAAGGAAGTATACAAGGTGAGATGAAAAAACTGCAACAAAGTAAAACGCCATAATTTTTTCATTTTTTTTAAATTTTATTGAATGAAAGCAAAAAATGTCGGAAATAACATCAATTTTGAGAATCGGTTTAGATTTGTCCGAATTGGCCACCTTTGGCACGAACTATGGCCTTCAAACGGCCAATGAAACCATCACACGCTGCCCGAAAGTGGCTCTGCGGTATTTTGTCCCATTCTCGGCGAAGCGCTTGCTTGAGATGATCGACACTTTGGTATTTTTTAGTTCCAACCTTGCTTTCCAAAATACCCCAGGCACAATAGTCCAACGGATTGGCATCCGGAGATTTTGGTGGCCATTGTGCGGTGGAAATGAAGCGAGGAACCTCATTTCTTAACCATTCTTGGATGGCGCGTGCTGAGTGCGATGGTGCTGAGTCCTGTTGGAATGTCCAAGGTCTGCGGCCGAAATGTTTGCGTGCCCAGGGCTTCAGAACTCCCTCCAAAATATTTTCGCGATAGATTTGCGCATTTAATTTGACACCACGGTCGATGAATACGAGCGGCGAGCGACCATCGGCTGTTATGGCGGCCCACACCATCACCATGGCCGGCTTTTGAGTTGTGATGGCCAACCGAAGTTGCAAATTTTCAGCTGACCTCTCTGGCAAGTAAACACGATCATTTTGTTTGTTTACAAACTGCTGGATAACGAATGGTTTCTCATCGGAGAAAACCAAATTCGGCAGTTCACCACTTTCGGCCAAGCGAAACAACTCTTTAGCTTTTTCGAGTCTAACTTTTTTTTGCGCATCAGTAAGATCTTGCACTTTTTGGAACTTGAATGGCTTTAGTCCAAGCTCATTTTTCAATATTTGCCGAATGGCATATTGCGATATGTTCAGCTCACGAGCCATTTTTCGTCCACTGCGACGCGGATTTCGTTCAATTCGCTTTTTCACTTTTCGAACCATTTCTGCCGATGTTGCTGTTTTTTTTCGTCCACTTCCTTGACGTCGGGCTACGCTACCAGTATCATGGTAACGAGCGATGGTACGAGACACAAAACATTTATTCACTTCTAAATGCTGGAGGGCTCTAACGATAGCCACTTGTGGTTTTCCAGCCAAATGCAAAGCAATCACACTATCACGCTTGAATTCCATCACAAATAACTTTTTTTTTGAAAAATTCCCACCAAAATGCTTTTGTGCGCTTGTAAACAATATAATGAGCTGTCACTAGAATAAATCTGACAGCTGTGGGACGAGCGGTTTAGAAATGACAGCAGTCTGAAGTTGGTTGCAGTTTTTTCATCTCACCTTGTAGATCTTGCAAAGAATTTTTCTCTCTAACTTGTAACTGATAGTTGTCAACAATAAACGTACATTGATTTATCCTTATTTACGGCAAGATCCATTTGATGCGCTTGGTTTTCTAAGTTGGAAATAGCTCTGCCGTAAATACGACTACTGCAATATCGTTGCGTATGCCTAAATCACACTTTTGTAAAATATTATGCGAGTATGGTTCAAATCTACTAGCCAGATCAACATTTCCAATATTTTGACCAGTAGTGAGTCACAACAAAAAAGTTTGATTATATATTAATTAATTGATATTTTGGCTGACTATACAGCTGTTTCAAGTATTGCCAAATATTCATTATCAGTGTTTTTGACAGGTATTTGGCCATACTCGAAAGAGCTGTATAGTCAGACAAGAGCTCAATTAATTAGTAAATAATATTTTGTTGTTTTAATTTACTATTGTTCAAAATACCTTTCCAAAAAAAAATTTTTTTTAAAGTATCTTCTGGTTTTTGTCAGTAATTTAATTAAAAGCGGATATGGGACTAAACACATTTTTATTTGATCGGGTATTTTCGAATGCTCTTTGAATATGTTAATATAACTAAGCGTTCAAATCGTGTGTGAACAATTGTGTTAAAAACTCATTTTATCAAGTATTATAAATTTGCAATGTATTCTACATAATTTTTATACCGTTAAATATATCCTGAATAGAAAAAATTAAAAAAATTGAATTAATCACAATTTCCACCTGTCCATGTTTTTAAAATAGTTATGGGGATATTACAAAAATTGGGCCCCATATGCTGTACTGACTTAAAGTCAGTGCTTGCTTTTAGCAGCTTTTAGCACCAAAACAAATATATTCTCGATTTATGTAGAGAATATAAGATCCTAAAGTATATTAGTCAAATCCTGCTAGTCGGGATTGTGTTAGATTTAAAGTAGCTACAGAAGTAATAATAACGACGCTGAGGGAACCGATATATCTCAAAAGATAGCAATACTTATTCTTTTACGTTAGTTATATCAAAATCGTGATAAAATAAAGTATAATGTATGAGAAAAAATAATCTACATCATAGTTCTCACATTTTTGTACTACAGATGTTATTTTAAATATTTTAAGTAGAAACCTTATTCATATTTTCAATGAAATTTTTTTTAAGTAGCTGACTTTCAAAATGAACTAATCCATTGTTAGTGTAAATGGATACATATGCTGTCACATGAATTTCGACATTTCTGTTTGACAGTTTGACATTTTCTATCATAAAAGTTACTACAACGTTTAAGTTTAGTTTCTCTGAAAAAATGGAATTAAATAATGAACATTGTTAAGTCCACTGTGCAGACTGCATTTTTTTACAATATTTCATATGTACAATGTTTTGAAAGTTACTATTGACACTCTTTGGTCTTTAGTATATATGTTATAAAATCGTTGTAATAAATTCACTGTAACAAAATCAGGTGTTTTCGGTGACTCGCAAGTATGGCAAAAAGCAGCAAGTTGGTGGCCTATACTGCCCAAAATGTACACAAAACAACAACACTATTTTCTCTATCTAGGCCAGTAGTTGTATACTGACCACACACTTCGGCCAGTAAAGAAAAAATTGTCACCAACGCAATAAGCGAACTATTGTGAACCTTTATTGGAAATTCCAACGAATATTGTAATCATATGTCAAAAATCACATGTAAACAAAAATTAAAACAAAATTCTAAAATTTCATAAATTTGAAAATTGGGAAAAAAGAAGAAATTTTAGTGTTCTATTTTGAAATTTCCAACATTCTCACCATTCCTTTTAATTCCATATGCATTATAATTTTTAATTTTATATTAATTATTTATTTTTATGCAAAATGTAATTTACTTGCATTATGTGCACGTATGCAAGATTTGCTATGTGCCAAAACATAACACTTGACATATTGCAACAGTGATGCCAATGTCTCGCTTGACGAATATAGGCTAGCGAGCATGCGCTTTTTGCCATACTTGCAAACCACCGAAAACGCTTACTCTGACAAGATCATTGTAATAAAATTATTGCCATAAAATTATTGTAACTCTAAAGCATATTTTTTAAATAAAAGTGAGTGCAACTTAATGTCAGTGCGGCATTAGGATGAGTCAGAAAAACCCGATTTTAAATGAGCGCACACCCAAGGAATATGCAATATACCAACGTCTTACATGTACCTTGTAATTTCCTGAAACTACTTTTATTACCGATAATGTCTAACTTTTCAAGATGCAGTCTTCGTTTCTCAGATGCTTGACCCAGTTGCAGTGAGCGATTCTGGTGCTAAATTGCCTTCTATAGGACAGGTTCTAAAAGTGTTTTTTAATAACAAGTGTATAGTAAATATGAAACTACGAGAAAGTGCGTGACTAACATTAAGTGAAGTTGCAATATTTTGGCAAACATTAAGAATTTCAATGAAACAGAAAACAGATCGTACTTCAAACAGGGCACCGAAACCCAATAACACAAAAGTCGAACCAATAGTCATGGATCAACAATTTTGATAATTTATTTGATATTGCTCATAGCGACGCAATAAAAGTAATAAAATGTAATGAAGACCAGAAATTTGTTTGTAAGAAGATAGAAAAAGGTTGTCCTGGAATTGATATTCTTCTAGTGGTAAAAGAGCAAAGAAAGCAAGAGCGGCTAGAGAAAAAAGAGCATTGAAACGAAGATGAATTTGATGAAGAAATTTTTAATGAAAATGAAGCTGAATCTGATGTTACAGTATAACAACATTGGGATAATGCAGTTAAAGCGATTTAATTTATCACTCCTAGGTTAGTTTCCGCCCTTGACAAATGCAAAGTTTCGGATTGCTACACTGTATATATTTTGCCCGCATTGGCTAATGTACATTGTGACCGAAAAGCTTTCGGAAATTCTCATTTAAAATTCGCGCGCTGTATATTTTTCGATATTTTAATTTTATGTAGTTTGGCAGCACTGTCCTTAATTACTATGCCAAAAATGAGCGCGATCTGTCAGACAGTTCGTTTACGGCAGCTGTTGAAACCAGTTTACCTCAGTAGTGCGTTGCGAAAAAAACAATGGAAAAAAAAAAAAACCAATGGCAAAAACGAAAAAAAATATTGAACAAAGAGTTTGCATCAAATTTTGTTTTTCGAACGAAATTTCGTGTGCAGAATCGTTGCGAATGCTACAAAAGGCTTATGGGGAATCAGTTTTATCGAAAACTCAAGTTTATGAGTGGTACAAAGCCTTTCAGGACTGTCGTACGACCGTCGAAGACATGCCGCGTTCTGGACGACCTTCGACCTCTACCACCGACGAAAACATTGAAAAGGCAAAGGAAATCGTGTTCAAAAATCCTCATGTGAGTGTTAGAGAGATAGCACGAGAGCTAGGCATCGGTCGTGAGATGGCTCGTTTGATTTTGGTGGACAATTTGTGTATGCGACGTGTCAACGCCCGGCTTGTTCCGATTCACCTCAATTTGTTCAACATTATCAACGATTTTAAGGCCAAACATTCAATAAATACCATCGAACAGCCACCGTATTCACCTGATCTTGCACCGTGTGACTTTTTCCTGTTTCCCAACCTCAAATTACCACTCAGAGGAACGCGTTTTGAATCCATAGAAGACGTAAAACAGAATTCGCAGAGGGAACTCAAAGCCATACCGGAAAGCGCCTATAAAAAAATGTTTTGATTGATTGGAAGAAACGTTGGCATTTGTGTATCGCTTCTAATGGAGCATATTTTGAAGGAGATAAAATAAATATTGATGAAGATTAAGAATTTTGCGTTTTATTTAAAATTTTCCGGAAACTTTTCGGTCACAATGTATTAAGGTCATAATATAAAGGATCTTGCTATACGTCGAACGATTCAATAAAGCCATCATATTTGTGAAATTATTTTGATGAGGAGCATTCGAAACGAAATTTGGAAAATCAAATCAAAAATGACTTTCAGAATGCTTTCAGAATGATTTAGGTTAATTTGAAACAAATAACTTTTCAAAAATGTCATACATATTTGTCGTGAGCAACTATAAAATATTACTCTCGCGATGATTATAAAAAGCTCTTGGAGCTAGTATTAATATTTGTAGGCGAAAAAGTTGGCAATTTTAAATTTTGTCTCCCAGGTACTACTTCAAACTCTCGATGGATTGCGAAAGTCATATATTTACTAAAAATGTTTATTTTTAGAGATCAAATTACATTTGACTCGGGTGATTTGTATTAAGTACGAGATATATGCATTTTTTTTGGGTACTATATATATGAAAATTGGGTTTAATCGCACGAGTGGAGTTACAGCAGCTCAAACAAGATCTCCAACTCATTAAAAACGTTATTAACTATTCCATCATTGACAGAGAAATTTCGAGTGCAGTCTTCATGACAATGACCAATCATTTATGGCAGTTAGCAGAAAAACTCATGACCATGGCTTTCTTTGATAATATTGTTTCTGTTGAGGAGCAAGCAAAAATGATTGAAAGTTTTAGTAGTTCATATTTAAATTCGTTCGAAAAAATAAAAAGCTTGATCCTTCAGATATTAGAAAATTTGAACCCACGCTGAGTGAATTGAAGTCTTTTTCCTCAAAGAACCTTAATGGTTTTGTGACCGAGAATAAATTTTTTCGTTCGTTCTTGCCTGTCGTCCAGTTTTACCAGTTTTGATCCTTCAACTTGGATGTGGAGACAATATTATAGAGATTAATTTGAATTCTGTTCCAGACTTCATGTGGTAAATGTTTTAACCATGATTTTAATTAGATTTTGACAAAACTGAAGAGGAAAAACAATACGTATTGCAAGAAGTCGAACATTGTCATAAAAATTATCCTTCACTTAGCAAGTCAGACTTAAGTTATAAAACATAATGAACACAACTGAAAAAAAAAGATTTTCTTGAAATTATAATTTTTTGTGAATAATTAACTAAATTGTAGTATGTATTGTAATCTATAGTTGACTTAAAATTATTATTTCGACCAAGAAATCTCACTCTAAATCGTCAAAATGATTGAATGTAATATACATAGATATGAAAACAGAGCACAGTCGTTTAACTTATTGTTGTGTTTTGCGCATACTTTTTAGCCGATTTTATTCATCAATGTCATATTAAAAATATATTTTAACTATCTATCAAATGAGTACATATTAATAATTGTTGAAATAATGAACAAAAATATAAAATGACCTTAAATTGAAAAATGTCCGTTTTTCGTACAGAAAACCCAACTTTGCTCGATTGGTGCAACGTCATTTTTAATCCTATTCCTCCAAAACTTCCGGTATATCATTTTTTTGGTCAATGGCATATTCCTAGGGTGTTTCATTTTTAATTGTTCCCCTTATAACGTGAGCCACCCTAGTGCGGTATTATTCAACTTAGAAAAGGAACGAAGCAATGGGTATTGAGGTATATGAGAACAAAACAAAATACTTTCTGTCAACAAACAAATCTCCTGAGCGACTTTGGTCATTGTTGATACGACGAGTATCGAATTAGATGGAACGATCAGCTGTATGAGCTATACCACGATGTTGACATAGGTATGCGCAAAAATTCGGCGGCTTCGCTGGCTTGGTTATGTCGTGCGTATGGAAGAGATGCTACGGCTAAAAAGGTTTTTGATTTGGTACCCGCAGATGGAAAACGCTGTAAAGGACGTTCTCATCTTCGGTGGAGGGTCCAACCATTTGGGGGCGCTTGGTACTATCCACTGATGACAGCAAGCACCTCTACTGGCTGGCAGGCGAAGAGTACTCGACGCGGCCAAGCACGACTCACATCTGTATTGGCCAACTAAGTAAGTTAGTAAGTAAAAGTGAAACCTTGGTCACAGTTTTTTTTGAATTTGAACAAATTTGAATTCAAATTCCCTTTTTTACAAACATTTTCGTGCGATGCTTTTTTATAATTATCGATACAGATCAAGTAGAAAAATATACATCAAGCAACTTAGTTAGACAATTACTGATAAAACACCATTTCCAGTAACTGTAAAACGCTGGTTCAATGAGTTCGAGCTTCATCACCGTTTTCTCTAAGAACGGCTGTTGTGCCAGAAAATATGGATGAAATGTGTTCAGAATTAAAACAACTGAACCGTTTGAGTATTTGTAAATTACTGATTTTAT